TCGTGAAATGCTTGAGTCGGGATTAATCCGACATAGTACGAGTCCTTTTTCTTCACCGGTACTTCTCGCCAAGAAAAAGGATGGGACGTGGAGGTTTTGTACGGATTACCGGGCTCTCAATGCGGCTACCATAAAGGATCGTTTTCCAATCCCAAGCATTGGTGACATGTTGGACGAGTTGGCGGGATCCCGTTTTTTTTCCAAATTGCGAGCGGGTTACATCAGATACGGGTGGCGGAAGAGGACATTCACAAGACGGCATTCCGAACTCATCAAGGGCACTATGAATATTTGGTAATGCCTTTCGATTTATGTAATGCACCATTCTCCTTTCAATTCGCTATGAATTCGATATTTCAAGATTCTTTGCGAAAATTTGTGTTGGTGTTCTTCGATGATATATTGGTGTATTCGAAGAATTGAGATGAACATGTGATGCATTTGAAAGTGGTCTTGAATATTTTGAAGGAGAATGATTTTCATATAAAGCCTTCGAAGTGTTCTTTTGGCCAAGAATCGATGGAGTATTTGGGCCACATCATATCTTCTGAAGGAGTTAAAGTGGATTCTAAGAAAATTGAGGCGATGCTTGATTGGCCTAAACCGAAGAATTTGAAGGAACTACGGGGGTTTTTGGGGCTAACCGGATATTATCGAAAATTTGTCAAAGACTTTGGATCGATTGCCAAGCCATTGACGGAGATGACGAAAAAATGAGGGTACAAATGGCCGGTTAGTAGTAAGGAGGCATTCGAAAAACTCAAGGGGGCTATGTCAACGACCCAGGTTTTGGCTATGCCTAACTTTGAGGTGATGTTTGAAGTGCATACGGATGCTAGTGATGTGGGAATTGGAGCCGTCCTTACGCAAGAAGTTCGACCATTGCTTATATGAGTAAAGCCTTGGGGGGTGTACGAGTGGGATGGTCGGTCTACGTGAAAGAGTTGCTAGCTGTGGTAGCAGCGGTCTGGGTTTGGAGGCCTTATCTTTTGGGCCGACATTTTCGAATTGTGACGGACCAACAACCTCTAAAGCATTTGTTGGAGCAACGAATAGTGACACCGGAGCAACAAAAATTTGTGTCAAAACTCATGGGTTAGACTTTGAGATTTATTATAGGCTGGGTCGACAAAACGCAGTGGCGGATGCATTATGTCGTCGGACGGACGTGGCAGAACTTCAAGCCATTCTGGACCAACATGGGCTATATGGGATCAACTACGAGAGGCAAATGTTCAAGATGCCTTTTTTAATGATGTTCGTAGAAAAATGGAAGCTCAAGAGGAGGTCCAAGATTATGATGTTTATGGCGGCTTGTTACTATACAAAGGTCAGGTGTATGTACTGGAAACCGATCACTTGAGACCTGAGCTGGTAAAATATTTCCATGAAGCTAAGATTGGGGGACACACGGGATTGTATCGTAATATGGCAAGGCTATCCAATACCTTTTATTGGCCGGGGGGCAAAGAATGACGTTCGGGAGTTCGTAACAAAGTATGACGTTTGCCAAAGAGTGAAGTCAGATTCCAAAAAACCGGGAGGGTTTTTACAACCTTTACCGATACCCAGAGAATTTGGGACGACATAACAATGGACTTCATCGAAGGACTTCCAATGTCTAATGGGTTCAACGGGATCATGGTGGTCGTGGACCGTCTTACCAAGTATGCACATTTCATTCCTATTACTCATCCATATACGGCTAAATCCATAGCTAAGTTATTTATTGAGTATGTGATGAAATTGCATGGGATGCCCCGGTCCATTGTATCGGAGAGGGATTGGATAATCATGAGTAGTTTTTGGAAGGAGTTTTTCAAAATGCAGGGTACCGAGTTGGCTATGAGCTCAGCATATCATCCTCCAACGGATGGGCAAACTGAGGTAACCTATCGCATTCTCGAACAATATCTCCGATGCTATGTTCATGAATTTCTGAGAAAATGGGAAGGATTTCTACCATGGGCTGAATTTTGGTATAATATAACGTACCATGCATCGACCAAATTCACTCCTTTCGAGTTGGTTTATGGACGGAAGGCACCCCTACTGGTGAGTTTTCCGATGGGAAAATCACCAAATGATGAGGTGGATCGTGAGCTCATGGAACGAGATCTTATGATTCGGGAGCTCAAAGGAAACTTGTACGAGTCAATCAATCGAATGAAGGAGTGCTATGATAAAGGAAGAAGAGAGGGACGATTCGAACTGAGTGATTGGGTTTACTTGAAGCTTAGACCTTATCGCCAACACACAATCTCTCAAAAGACTCTATTCAAGTTGGGAAGTCTTTTTAATGGCCCATACCAAATTGTGGAACGCGTGGGGAAAATTGCCTATCGACTTGATCTACCTGTCGAAGCTCAAATTCATCCGGTGCTTCATGTGTCTCAACTAAAGAGAAGCTTGGGGAAAAATCAAGGAGCTCAACCGGGGCTGCCGACAGTGAACTCCGAAGGCACTATGATCATACGTCCAATACGAGTATTGGATTATAGGAGGGTAAAAAGGGCTGGTCGCTTCCGTTGGGAAGTCTTGATCGAACGAGACCAACTTCCGGAAGAGGAATCGACTTGGGAAAGTTTACACGATATGCAAATTCAATTTCTGAATTTTGTCCTTGAGGACAAGGACAATCTTGAAGGAGAGGGGAATGATGCGGATGAGGGCCGTCAGCTGAAGAACGCGTACAACCGGGCTCGTCGAGCTAGAATGAAGATGCAAAAAAATAGCAGCTTTACAGGGGTTAGCGCCGCTAAGGGTCCTTAGCGGCGCTAAGGCTGAGGATAGCAGGGAAAAAAGCTTCACGCTAAGATTATTAGCGGCCAGTAACGACCCTTAGCGGCGCTAAGGCCTGGGCTGGAGCAGTTTTTTATTTCAGTTTTCTTTTCATTTCAGGTGTGTTTTGGGTAGTTAGTAGGCTTATTTTATGTTGTTTTTGGTTCATTTGGAAGACTATCTTTATCATTTATCAAAGAACTCAGATAAGAGCTCGTTTCTGAGCACAAATCCGTGTCAAAATCAAAGCTTTAGTGCGTGTTTTGATACAAAATTCGATACTCAATACACGATTCGTAACATGCTCAGAGAACACTGGAAAGACTAGTGTTGGTACAGTGCTGACTTCTATCAGATTTGGAGAGCGATATGAGGCCGTTACATAAATATTTCCTATTTGATCATTTTGTCCATTTTAATTATCAATTGTATTGTATCATATTATTTTACATCAAAATAATTGACTTTGAAAACAATAAAATAAAAGTATGAGTTATTTCACAACAACTATCTATCTATAATCTATAATCTATAATCTATCTATATCTATAATCTATAATCTATAATCTATCTATCTATAATCTATCTATAACTACCTTAAAAGTATGAGTTGTTTCTTGAAAATTTTGAATTGCCCATACTGCCCTCAAAAGATGTTACTTTAAAGGACATAAATATAATTTATGATTTTATATTAGAATTGATAATGGTGATTTGTAACTCTCCAACCACATTTGAATGGCCAATATTATGCTTAAGAAAAATGAAATGTAACTTTTGTTTGAAAGATATAAACGTAATATTATAATTTTAAATTAAAATCACATTACAACTACACACATATTTTCTTTTTTTATAAATATATGTAACTCTTCCATTTCTCTTCATCATATACAATTATTTTTCATGCATATCAAATTATATTAATCTCATCTTAGCTAATATTCTTCATCATCTACAAATATTAATTTATTGATTACAAGAGTATACATTTATTCATTTAACTTGAAATTCAATTATCCTCAAGAAAAAGAAACGTAACTTTTGGATATTTGTTCATTTTCATTATTTCTTTTGATTATTTTAGTACTGTGACATTATAATTATTTTTTATTTTATCATGGATGTAGTTTTATTATTTATTGTGGATACTTGTCTTGTGAAATAGAGAAAAAAATAGAAAAATTAGTATGATGCTTCCACAATTTAGAAAACTTAGTATTATATATATATATAATAATAATAATAATAATAATAATAATAATAATAATAATAATAATAATAATAATAATAATAAGTATCAAGCCAAATAATAAATATTATTTTTAATTTGGAATACATGTTATTTAAAATTACCTTCATCGTGGTTTATTTTTATCACTGTGCCTTAAAATGTTTACTCCTATCTATCTTTATAGTTATAGAATGAATTACCTGTAATGATGAGTTTATAATTTTGAAATTCTAAAAATGGAACTATAATTTAGACCTTCTATCATTCAAGTACAAATTAGCAATTCCAACTTAATGTCATACATATGATTATTTGATATGTGATAAATAATTGTAGTTGTAGTCTATTAAAAATGTATTAATTTTTTAATTAAATGAAGGCAGATGAGTTACAAATCATCATTAAACTTCAATATAATATATATTTTTAATATTAAATACAACTGAATGGTCATGAATGTTCACTGTCATCTTCAAAATTTAGTAAAAACCCATTTAAGTGTATATCATGTGTAACAAGTTAATACATTCATATCAATTTTTTTTATAAGTAAAATTACAACTTTTATAAGTAAAATTATAAGTTAATACATTCATAATCATGAGTTGTTTCTTGAAAATTTTGAATTGCCCATACTGCCCTCAAAAGATGTTACTTTAAAGGACATAAATGTAACTTATGATTTTATATTAGAATTGATAATGGTGATTTGTAACTCTCCAACCACATTTGAATGGCCAATATTATGCTTAAGAAAAAATGAAATGTAACTTTTGTTTGAAAGATATAAACGTAAT